TGTTTCGCGGTTCATTCTTTTATGTAAAAACCACGGCACTTTGCAGTTTCTTTTTTCTCTCTCTAAAAATAAAACTGCGACTCTAGCTGTGACTTAGCGGGCGTCTGAAGTGAAGTTTAGGCTGACGTCGTTTGCACCCTCACAGGAGAAAGCGGACGGTGCCGCTGGGGGCGACCCCCTCTCTCGCGGGAGCCGGCTCTGGATCCCCTGGGGGGTGCTCTCCTCCGAGCCGCCCACCGCAGGACCTGTCCTCCGGCCCGACAGGCCCAACACCCTGCTCTGCCAGAGAAGCTGCCTCAGTTTACCGTGGGCGCCACATTACCTTCAGGCCGGGAGTGCTGGGTTCTGGGCAGAGCTGGAAGGCAGGCGGCAGAGTGGAGGCTTTACTAGGCGAGCAATTCAGATGCACGCAAGGGACCCGAATTTCCAAGGCACCAGTCATTTATTGTGATTTCTGCCCTGGCCTTAATATTCACCTTGATGCTTACGTTTTCGTAATTGTTATTTTTTCCTAGAGGACCCAGAGGAGCCTTGATGTGGCTTTTCCTCACAATTATTTATTGTTTGCACGCATCCTGTTGAGTTTCTAGTTTTTTCAATCCTTTACTCCTCTCTGCAGAGAAGACAGGGAGTTGGTTTCCCCACCTCTGACCTTGTTCCCTGCAAGCTATTCTGCGCGGAGCAGCCAAATGACCTTATTACAGAATACACCTGCAGAGCACACTCTAGTGATACCTGCACACCCAAGTTGATTGCAGCACAATTCACAGTAGCCAAGCTATGGAAAGAGCCTACGTGCCCATCAACTGACTAATGGATAACAAAAACGTGGTTCTTACATACACACTCGGGAATATTATTCAACCATAGAGAATGAAATTGTGTCATTTGAAAGAGAATGGATGGACTTGGAGAACGTCGTGTTCAATGAGATAAGCCAGACTGAGAAAGTCTGCTTTCTCATGCAGTAGAAGGAAGACAAAGAAGAGGAAAGGATCAGAACGGGAGGGAGGAGGACAATGATTAAAGTACGTTATGTGTATATACAAAAATAAAATCTATTCTGAATATACGCACTAGTAAAAATACATTTTAAAACGGAAGGATACACCTGCCAGACTGATTTCCATGACGAAATTCCCCTCACCTGCTCCTCGCAGTTCTTCCCTGAACCACGCCCTGACTCATCTCCTAAATGGGAGCAGTGTGGACGCCTGTTTACGCTCCCAGGCCAAGACAATCCCTCCACCCCTTCCTCCACCAACTGGTCGGGTTCTATCCTCTGTGCAGTGTCACTTCCTCCAGACGATCTTTACAGGCCTCAGCTCCCAAAGACCTATTGCTCCCCGGGATTAATGCTCCATCTGTGTGCTTCCTTCCCTCACCGCCTAATTACTAGTCACCTTGACTTGTTTGCAAGTTTCCTTGGGATACAAACCAAGCCATGTTTAGCAGTGTCTACCCCGTTACACTGAAACAGCATCTGCCTTCGTTTTATTGTACTGAAAGCATACGGCTTGTCATCAGAGGTCCAAGCTCTGATGTCTCTCCTGCATTGCGCCTGGGCTCTGTTCACAAGACCACCTCACCATCCAGGATGACCACTGGCTCTCCAACCAAGGTATCCACATCGTAGGTTGATATTAAGGGGAACAGAGGACTAAGCAGCACCTGTCCTCTCTTCTCGGAACCTTCCCAGAAACAACACACACAGATCCACCTGCAGCTCCTTGGTAGAACTTAATTACCTTAGTGAGCTAGCTACAAAACAGATTGGGAAATGTCATTTTTTTCCTCAACGTGGTGCTCTACATGGCTAAAATTCACAGTTCTGTTATTACAGAGGAAGAGAGGGCTGGGTTTGGGGAGGAACTATCAATCTTCACCACACCTTCAAAAGAGCCAGAAAAAATGTCAAATGTCTACCTTACACCAGCTCTTTTACTACCTTTCCTAATAATTCTAAAAATAAAGGTGACATACGCTTAATATAAAAGTGCACATCTTTAATAATAAAGATGCACCCACTTAATAATATAATGCAGTACCTCTTGACAATGGAAAAACATGTTCCTTCTCTCCCCTAAAAGGATTATGAGTTTTTGTGTCCAGCTCCACGCCCAGGAGCTCTGAGTGGTAGTCATTTCTCCTTTAATTCTGTCACAATCCCATCTCAAAATTCTGTAACTCATAGACTGAAGTTGGTCTTATACAAGATAGCAGAGAAAAAGGAACAGAGGGGAGGGGCAGTCATTTGAAATAGATAGAAATATACATATGCCACACCAAGGAAGGAAACAGAAGTTGAGTTCCTGTTTTGCAGCTGGTCATAAGGCTACAATTGGTATTTATGACTCCTGGCCTTACTGCCCATTGCAAAATCTCCCTTTCCCTTTGTTAGGCAGCTCAACTACTCAGAGGGATTTGAGGTTATTATTGTCTGCCACTGGACATGACAGTAGCAACCAGGCATTACCATGACTAGATTCTACTTACCTACTTCTGCCTACCACATAAGAGCAACCCTTTTCCACACGATTCTCATTATTGTCACACTGATCGCTATCATCATAACCAGCACTTTTGCAACCCACCCACTGGGACAAAATAACCAGTGTCTCAGTTTTCATTTTAATGGAACTCTGCTTGAATCCTTGAAGTGGATGGATTTCTCTTTGGTTACCAGCACCTTCAAAGGAGTGGAGCCTAGAGAGGAAAAAACAGAAACCAAAAATTTGCAAATAGATCAGTAGGTGTGGGATTTTTGTTGTTGTTGTTTTCTTTTGTTTTTTTATACCCGGGATCAAATTTGGGTCCTTGCACTTTTGAGGCAGGCAGCAGAACCACTGAGCCAAATCCCCAGCCCGGTATGTGTAGAGGCACAGCGACGACTGCTCAACAACTAGGCCACACACCGAGAGGTGAGGTCGGACAGGAGATTTTACTACGGAAGGCAGGTTAGGGGGAGAGGAGAGAGGGAAGAAGAGAAAAGACAGGCAGGAGAGAGAGGAAGAGAGAAGAACAAAGAAAGGAAGGTCCTTTTAGCATTTTGGGCTGGGCTATTGCTTATTTATGAGGAGTGGGCTACCTTTAACCTATCACGGGCCAGGTTGTCCTTTATGGGCTCTGTCCTGGAGAAACAGGTTTAACCTCTCCTGACCTCTGTGGCCTCGTGAGGAAGGGAAACTAAAGATAAGAGCAGGAGATCTTTAAGAGCCAAGAAGCACCAGGAAAATGCAGCCTGGGATGTCAGTGTCAGGTCCCTAGCAGGATGTATGTTCTTTGGGGGGAGGCAGGGCCTCACTATGTAGTTGAGACTGACCTGGAACTCACTATGTAGCCCAGGCTGGTCTCAAACTCACAGCGATCCTCCTGCCTCAGCCTCCCGAGTGCTGGGATTATAGGCCTGCGCCACCATGCCCGGCAGTATGTGTTCTTGAGGGGCGAGTTTCTCTTTGTTCCTATAGCCCTGTGTCCTAACTGCAAGTCAGTAGCACCCTACATTGACTTTGGGTTCAGAGAAAATTCGAATACTGTAGGACAGTTACCTTCCTTTGTCTGGGATTATCTTCCAATGGTCATTCTGACATTCTAGAAAGTCAGCTGCTACTGAGGGACAGAAATGAGCCCATTACATTTCTTTTTTCCATATAAAATGAGGTCTCGGCAGAAGCAATACTGTGGGATACCAAATGATAAGGGTTACAGAAAGTCTAAGGGTAGTACTATAGGCATTGATGTGGGGACAAGTCACGGATTCCTCCATGAGCTAAGAGTCCGTGTAATCTGCTTGCATGTGGATGCCTGGGGCAGCCCCTAGTTTCTGAAACTTTTGGAAGACTGAGAATTGGCTGGCGATTGGGGCCGGGGATTTAGCTCAGTGGTGCCATCGCCTGCCTTGCAAATGCAAGGTCCAGAGTTCAATCCGGGGCACAAAAAAAAAAAAAAAGAACTGGTTGGTTGCAAATGAAAGGCCAGAATTTCAATCCGGGGAAAAAAAAAAAAAAAAAAGAACTGGTTGGTGATGCTGATGAGAAGCCAGGTCAGCCTTGGGAGGGGAAATCTACGTTGTTAAGAACACAGAACAGTTCTGTCCTTACCTTCATGGTCACCTGTGGAGAACAGGGAAATGGGTCATTACTAGAACCTCTACAGTGAGTCCTAGTCCCCTGCGAGCCACGACAGCACAAGGCAAAATAATTAATATATGAAGACAAAAATAAGGCT